TTTATGTAGCGTGTACTTGGCCAAATTGCGTTTCCTCTGTGCCTGCATCTGCAGAACATATGCTTGGTACTCGCTCTTACCTTGTTCGATTTCAGACTCCAGAGTTTTGACCTTTTTTGTAAGTTCGCTTTTGTCCAATTTGAATTCTTCAAGAGAGTGCAGTTCTTTAGCTGTTAACGAGTGAATGTGTGTTTGGTTTTGTGTGTGTGTGTGTGCGTGCGTGTGTGTGTGTGTGTGTGTGTGCGTGCGTGTGTGTGTGTGGTGTGTGACAAAAAACGAAATATGATATGACATACACAATCTTTCGTTTTCATTCATCAGTTTATTTTTGATAACTTCCAAATCATGCTTCTTCTCGTTCAGCCTCGATTCATTCACATCTCTCTCCAGCTCATTCCTCTCTACCATCATCACGATCTCTTCTTTTAAGTCGTTTAGCTCTTTGGCTGTTGTGAAAATACGTTATGTTACAGATATTTTAATTATGCACTAATAATCTTAATAATATTTCACGGTTAATTATCATAAACTATGCAAATTTATGTATATTAACTCTTGTCCTCAAGCTCTTGGCTAAATTTATTGATGGAGTTTTGCTCATTATGTTGAAGCCTGTCTATACGTTCTGTTAGGTTGTTTCTCTTTCTGATTGAGTCTTCGTATTTCTCTGTGTATCTGTGTGTGTGTGCGTGTGTGTGTGTGCGTGCGTGTGTGTGTGTGTACGTGCAATCATACGCACATAATATTGTCGTCGGGATTAATAAACAAACATTATTATTATTATTATTATGATTTGTAGATAATGCTAGGACAAATTTTGACATTGATTACGATTGATGTGACGTCATTCTACAATGAATCACGTGGTAGCGACGTCATCGCCATCATCAACTCATCGTCGTCGTCATCATCATCAGCTCGTCATCATCGTCGTCAGCACAATCGTCATAACTAACTTTTCCAACTTTGATTCCAAATTTTGAATATCAATTAGAAAATTTTCTCGTGTTTTCTCATTCAACTTTTCCAGAAAAAAGGGAATCCTCGTCTGTTTTCCGTCAGATTTCGACGACTTATGCTTATAATTCGGCATAATTTTTATTAATAATTATAATATAATAATAATTATTATTATTAATAAAATAATAATGTATAATTATTATTGATATTTTGTTATCTCTTCGTTAAATGAATGTTTATTTTTTTAGATATGCCTAGAGACGATCTTTTACAAATAAAATTTGTATGCCTGTATGTATATACGTATGTATGTATGTATATATGTATGTGTGTGTATGTGTATGTATGTTTGTATGTATGTATGTGTGTATGTATGTGAGTGTATATATGTACATACATACATACATACAAGCATCAAAACGCCGACTTGCTTATCAATGTAGCAATGATTACAGCAATCCGTTGCTATGGAGATCATACACACCAACAAAAACAACAATAATAAATAAAAAACAACAATAATAATAATAATAATAATAATGACCCCAAAAACACTTTTGTTATTATTTGTTTGTTTGAATAATTTTATTACAAAGAATCACACCATAATTTCACATGTATATATATATATATATATATATATATATATATAATACATGCATACTTATATATAGATATATATAAGTGTGTGTCTGTGTGTGTGTGCGTGTGTGTGGTGAGAAGAAACCAACAAATTAGAAAAACTATACATAGTGAAAATTTAAAAAAAGTAAAAAATAAAACACTGACTGAAACAAAACTCGCCCACCACTGCTTAATGACGTAACCATTCATCTTAATTATTTGAGACCACGTGCTTCCGGAATTTTCAAATATGGCGTCTTGCAACGCGGATCAACCGCTTTAATATGGAAGAATAATAACAACAATAATAATAATAATAACAATAATAATGGTAATAATAATAAGTTTTGACTGTTTTATAACTTTATATTGTATGATAATCTTAAATATATACACGAATATAAGTGCATGTATACACATACAAACACA